GCAGCAATACAAAGGAACAAACAAAGGGCTTTAGCTNGTCGAGTAAAAAGATATAGTTTTCGTCTTCCAACAATGCATTTTGTTATCGTGTTTATTACCGCAGTTTGCTTGTTATTTCTTGTTAAGCTACAATGGCCAAAGAAAAAGAGTATACTTTCAGTTGGTTTCGAAATGTTTAACTGACCGCATTTAAATACTACAGCCCGTAATTCCACGATAGTTTAAGTGCACATTCTCTATTCATCATCGTCACTTTGGCTTTTAATTGTCTCTGTCATTGGCGGATTTTTAGTTTTCGGAGGAAAAGAACTGAAAATGTTGCGAAGGTCGCTTCAGTAATTTAGGGCTACAGTCTACGAGAACTTGAAGTCGAAGTGTACACTTGAAACTTTAAAGTTCAGAGTTTCTAATTTTTGAAAACACTGAAAACACCAAACGTCGAGACTCAGTGCAGTTCCACTAATCCACTATTCTGTTTCTCGCTCGTTAATACGACAAAAATCGAGTGAATTATTCTTAAGTTCTTCTACAGATCTTCCCGAGGGAAGTCATCACTAAATATGTGTCTTTAGAGCCATTGTAATGATATGCGTATAAACAGTTTGATGTCGTTTTGTTTAGAATTTGGTTCAACCAGACCCAATTTTTTCTAACAGTTAACAGAGTTATATTAGAGATTCGAGAGCCAACATTCCAATTGTGCCGGTTTTTCCCCTATTTTTTGATTTATAAAGAACTGCATAAAATATTTACCCTTACCAAGATCACACAGGACTCAACATATTAATTCTGGTTTTGTTCTCAGATATCGGACAGTTTAGAGTCGTATGTTTGCTTCACACTAGAAGCTAAGTTAGTTTCAAATAATTAAAACACTTGGATTAAGTCACACTTTAAAAAACTTGGCTTCACACCTGATCACAAAGTGTATTACTTGAAGGATTTTCGCAGCAAAATCAGTCATACATATCACAAATGCGATTGTTCGAGAGTGCATAGCAGCAATACAAAGGAACAAACAAAGAGCTTTAGCTAACCGAGATATGGATCCGCTGTAGAAAATACATTTCCGTGTGACTCGTCCAATGTTCAACAGAATTGTTCGGTTGCAAACTGAGAAATGACCTGGTTGAAACTTGAAGCAGCAGCTGGTTTTCAATTTGTAGAAGAGCATTTGGTGTCGGATGATATGAAAAGCGATGGTTTAGGCTGTCTATGAAAATGAAATTCACTGAGCAATTTGCTCGTCTGTCCGTCCATCAGAACTGTAGCAACGTTACACATCGCTTTCAGTTGGCTTCCACTTCCTATTAGTCAAGTGAGTTCTCAAGTGTAGTGTAGACCATACTTGGCGGCGCACTTAAGCTTCTTTGAACTACGAACGTTTCTATGGTCACTAAGTAAAGTCCAAGTTTTACTCAAAGTAGGTTCCAAGTTCACTTAGATTATACTTACAAGCTCTAGTGTGGAGCCAACAATAAACTCCAATGTTTCTTTGCTGTAACGAAAAAGACCAGCTTTCAAATGCTATAATTTTAAACCCTGACTTTTAACTCATACCTTGTTACTGTCTGCTTAGTACGCAAGTACTTCTTCATCTTTTGTAAGAAAAAAGTAAGAAGTGGAAGCTAATTCATTCTAAAACCGCTGAATGTAAAACTTCCTTTGATTTTTAAAAATTCAACTGACTTTGAATTTAGCACGATCGATGCCTACAAACAACAATCATCGTAGTTTGATTGCATGATGAATAAATAAAGAATGTCTTTGTCTACGTAGCACTGAACAGAATGGTTTATCTAACCGGGAGGAACAATGTTCTTTTCTAAAGAAAGGATAAACCTACGGTACGGTAGTAAAAATGATAAGCAACAAAGTTTAGAAAGTAACTCAGTCTACCTCGTCAATACAAGTCTTATTTCCTGGTGGTTAGTCTCGGGGCTAATGGAGAACAGTCACACTGCAAAGATACATTTCCTGTTATGTAAGTAGAAGAATTAAGAGTAAACAATATGCCAAAATGCTCTGCCAGGCTTAAATGATAATTAGTTGAACAGTTTTTCTTTTTCGATTTTCAGCTGTCTAAGATCAAAAAACAAACTTTTCTAACGGAACTTATTGCACAAGAAAACATTAATTTGACTTTCGTAACATCTTTTAAAGTTCTATGCCATGAGCCCATCACCTTCATCTATCTTCCAGTCAGCAAATGTTGTATTTTTCAGTATTTAAAAATTTGTTTTTTCTCCAAGAATCGATCTCAGTAGTTTCCGAGAGATATCAATGAACTCCGCCCCCGCTACTTCCAGTCACTCTGTCGATTATTTGCATTGACAAACAACGTAAATTATTTGGAAAACGCTAATTTCGTTGCGACTTCCTTTCACCTGCTTCAAATAAAATTAATAACTTCAAAATTCTCATATACGTTTCATTGACTTGATGTCTGGTCTATATGATCGGCTATCTTAGTTGGTGCGGAGCGAGCGGAGCGAGAAAGCAGCAATATAATCAGGATTTAAAGGAGAAGGTCACTCCAAAAAGCTTACTTTTTACCTTCGCCTATAGCAAGTAAACATTCAGCTTTTTCACTCACCGAAGTTTCAGCCTCTGAAATGCCTGCTATCCTGATGAAGTTCGTCTCGAGAGAGGCGACCCGGAGGCCGTCATTTTGAACTGTACTTGGCACCTAGGCCGTGTTTATGTGACGTCATTCCGTCCGACTCGTAATTAGCGACAGGGAGAAAAACATGCAACTGACTTTGCATCCTTCACAAGACCAGCAGAGTATGTTTTTTTCCAAGCGGTTACCCACTTCACTATCTTCACTGTTATCATTTTCGGAGTTTGGAGCATGTTTGGCTCAAAATATAATACGGCTCAAGAGCATCCATAACCCAGAGTGGTACTTAAAAGGCTTATCGGAAGCCATTTCCACGAAATCTCTCGGACAGAATGAAATCACGAAAACGCGGCTTGGCTGCTGAGTACTGTTCAAAATGGCGGTAACGATGTCGAATTTTGGGCTTCTTTGGAGACGAATTTCATAAGGAAAACCTGCACTTTAGAGGCTGAAACTTCGGTGAGTGGCTAGTGCGAGGTTTTTATTAGCGTTGACAAAAAAATATACGTTGCTTAGTGTGACCTTCTCCTTTAAGAAGAATATATAACAAAGGTACGAATTCTCGAATTCGTCACTTTTTACCAGAATGCATTGCATTTAACCGGAACGCACTACACCACTTTTTACCAGTGTGCATTGCGCCACGAACAATACGAGGATATCACGACGGATGTCACACCGTCATCCTTTCTTCGCGTGGATTTTAGTGGTTATGTTTTGCTCTGATTTACCTGTAAAACGATGTGAAGGAGATCGTGCTTGAGTTTCACAACTCTTGCTTTTGTTCTTAATGCGGTATATGAAAGTTTGTAAATCTGCGAGTTTCTCTATAAGAGATACGAAACTAGCAGAAAGAAAAGTTATGTTCCATTCAGGGCTGAATGGGTTAATTAGTCAAGGAAGTATGTATGTATTGTGACATCTAATTTAAACTTAGTATGTCACCTAATTCCCTCCTCGGTCGAATTCTCAAATGAAGGGAAACCGTCGTTACTAAAGCTTGTAGAATAATTAAAACAAAGGAAAACCGTAAAACACGCTAATTTCATATATGCTACGATCTAGTCCTTTTCATCCAAACATGAATTTAACCTAAAGTTTTAGTATTTTCACACATCACGATGGGCGCGTCCTTGACACAGTCTGTCAACATTCTAGAGACATTTAATGCGTACCAGTACAGAATTTATAAGTTAGATTTCTGCTCCTACAATTTCCACATTTTTCGATTTTCGTGACAAAGTTCAGATCACCATGTGCTTTTTTGTCACGATCCCTTGGCACACCTCGCCATCGATGCATCATCATGCATGAAGTTGATGCATACAAGGATAGATTTAAAAAGTTACACACTACTTTAAGAAATAAAGGTTAATGTAAATCTTGGAACGCGCAGGTAGATGAATCACTGCGTAAAATATGTCACTATCAACAGAATGTGCCGCAGCGTTACTATCTTTTAGATACCCTAGTAGTAACCTATATTCCGAGAAAGAAGCATAAGCTGAACTACTTGGTATGGTGTGTCGCTTTGTCAATAATGGAAACTTTTGGAAAGAACTAACTCAGTGAGGGATCCAGAACTTGANGGGGGAGGTTTGCTTGCCCTGCCGGCTTTTCTTCCTTTCTTCCTTCTTTTCTCTTCTTTTACCCAAAATAAGGGGGGCCCGGGCCCCTCCCCTAGATCCGCCACTGTTAATCAAACTAAAGAAGGTTAGATATTGATATTATTTCAGGTTTTGAAAAAGTCGACATAATTAGGCATAAAATTTTAAAATGCGGTGGTGCTAGATCGATCAATTGGTTCAGCTTGTCGTAAGAGTCTAGAAACGAACACCATGACCTGTTCAAAAACTCTCCTACAAAATGTAAGAGGTTATTTTTTACTATCATTTTCTAAGTTATTCAACTAACGCGACTTAGCCTGCAGAACAGGCGGATTAGCGGGACAAAGAGCGAAACGCGATACAAGAGCGCGGAGCGCGACCACCTGCGCAAAGCAAGTCATCCAAAATGAACACAAATCTGTTGCCTTTGTAATGTACAGCTTGATTAAATAGAGAATTTGTTGAAAAACTATTGTTAACTTCCTCAATTTTTATTTGTTAAATTTGTGGAAAATTTTGTTGGGTGGCCTTGGTTCATTTTGCAACCAATTCATCAACGCGGAAGTGACGACTTTAACTCACTTACGCCCGGCCATTAGGACTGGCCGCTGCTAGTCGAGACAAGACTTCGTCATTGCCGCCGTTAAATGATTTTCTGCGAAAATAGCATTAGTTCCACAGTCTAGGAAAAGAAAAGAAGAAAAGAAACTTGGGATATATATGTTTTTTTATTTAACAAAGGGAAGACAAGAAAGAATGAAGGGAGACCGTTCCTCTTTCAAAAATATTTATTCTATTCCATCTTGAGCTATGTTTCGTTCGGACCATCAAGCAAGTTACTTCTCAAAGTATATTTTTAAATTGTATAAATTGTTTGCCCTCTACAACAGGGAAACAGCCTTGATTCCAGTTCTTAACCCTTCCAGCCCCAATGCTGTTTTTAATCGAGATTCTCTTAACAATATCAATACAAATTCAAGCAAAGTGATTGTGAGAATTACGAGTCAGATACTCATTTTAAATATGACAAGCTTCTGCGAGTTTCTCTATAAGAGATACGAAACTAGCAGAAAGAAAAGTTACGTTCCATTCAGGGCTGAATGGGTTAATTAGTCAAGGAAGTGCCATCAAATGAAATGAAATTCTGCTTGTTAATTATTCTTTCACTTCGAGATACACTTGTTAACAAATAATTGAAATCTTCCTTTTAAAAATAAACCGCGAGCACTGTGGCCTGTAAAAATAATTTAGAACGATGCCACACTTTCAGTGTTACTTGATTTTTTAACGTTTCATTTTATTCTACAATTGACAGGCGTGTCTTCAATATTCAGTATTAAATCAAAGTCGATTCTAGTCAGTCGTCAATTCATATTAATGGTGGCCACGGTACACTTCTCTGAAAACGTTCCAAGTGTTGTAGGAGACAATCTTTTTTCGTGGGTGCTTGGTAGAAAGACCTTTTCGCGGGAAAATCCGCTATTCTGAACGTGGACAAACGTCTAGCGAAATAGAGTTTGCATGGGAATTCGGTGATGTGCAATAACTTTAGTAGAATTGAATTTCTGCGTCATTGCAAATATTTTACGGCGAAAAGACAATCTAAATCCTCAGATATCTCCTATTATGCTAAGTTTATAAGTCAAGAAGAACGGAGAACTTCAATTTTATGAAAGTTATTTGAGGTGGATATTCTTGAAAACTCTGTTTTGCGAAACGTTTGCCACATTTACAAAATGACGGATTTTTCCACAAAGAGGACTGTTGTCCAAATGTCTGAAAATGGAGATTTTTACTCATCTTTGCAGTCTTTAAACGTAGGATGGCATGCATTGTGCACACTCCAAACATTCCCAGAGAAGCAACATATCGCCCGCCGATAGTCTGTTAAATATAATTCATTTACATGCACTAGTTTAAACATGCAAGTCTGTAAAATCAGTTCACTTGTGTAAAAAAGTTAATAAACTATACTAAACTTTTAAATTGTTTTGGAAATTGTTTTCGCGTATGACGCAGCGGTAGTTCTGTCACATTTAATATCACCTTGTCTTCCCACGTTTTTTAAAGTTTTTTTTGTTTTGTTTTTTTTTTTTAATGCATTTTGACGATAACTTGTTGATAAGGAAAATACCATTTTTGCGATGATAGAAAAGTAACTGCAAAACTCATATTAGCTTAAAGCCATATTTACTTAACAGGGTGATTCTATTTTTCTAAACTTGTCAAGTGTTATAAACAAAATAACTCGAAAACTTGCTGCCCTTGACAAGATGCTTTAGAATTTGCCAACAAATTGTTCTAGGAAAACAGAAATAAATGCGCTAAAAAAATAAGATTTCAAAACTAACTTTTAGGATTAATATTATCGGAAAACCTTACGCGTTGCGTTATAATATGTTACAGTTTAACCTTCACGAAAGCGAACTTTAAGTAGTCCCAGTTACACGTGTTTGCTATCCTTAGCTAGGAAACGACACGAATGGTGTAGGGTGCTGTAAACGTTTTGTGTCACGCTATGAAAGATGTACAGCAGTGTGTCACGCAGGTATACCGTCACGCTCGAAAGTCCAATTTGATCCAGCGGTTTTCTTGTTGAATTGTGTCATAGCAACAGTTACTCTGTCTCCGTCAAACATATACTGAATTGATGAATATTCGTTTGAATGGTGAGAAAACCATGCGGAAAGACATGGGTGAAACCGACTTTTATTTGCTGCACTATCGAAAAATGGTGTTAAAATTCCTTGGAATTCGCTCCTCCTCTGTATAAAAAGTCTCGCAAACTTCTATAAAATTAATGAGCATCAAACACATGCCCGAGGATAGTTAAATTATATCTTTTTTTTTTTCCAATATATTTAAAACGCTTTGTTCCTTGCAAGTATATCTACGAAACCTTTTCATAATATAAGGGAGAAAACAGAGACGGGAAATGAAACTTAAAATCACTCCTAGCATATAATTTCATATTCTTTTTTCATCACTTAAGACATCGTATCCTTTATTTTGCTTTGTATTTCCTCTCAGCTGGTTTTTGTGCCAAGTTTCACTTGACCAGATTCGTCTATTTTCGCTAGCTCCTATTTCTATAAAAACTATGATAACTTTCGACTGTGATTCCCAAAACCTTCTCAAAAGTTCTCGATTCTTTCACAGTCTCTCTTTTTTTTAATTTACTGACACTTTTAACGAATTAAGGGGGTGGCTAGCCTGCGTACCTGGTGGGATTTGTGAGTGAGTGAGTTTTGGTGGCGGAACCTTCATTTTATTCTAGCTCTCGGGAATTCGCGAGCGTCGAAGCCCGGGTGAAATCAACTCGAGTGGAATTCAACTCGACCCTTCACCAATCCCATCGCGGCTTTACATCTCGTCTTCCCCGCCAAAACAATTATCCCGTCAACCACTCACGCAGGCTGAAGGGTGGCACATTTCAAGAGATGTAAGGGACTCTTTTTTTAAAAGTTGCTTACGGGGTTAAGCTCAGTTCAGTTAAGTTCAATTTCCCGTCTCGTGAAAATATCCAAATTAAACTATAAATTAGATGTAAAATGAATGTTGGATTTGCTCCCAACATTCTCCTGTCTACATTATGTACAACTTCTGAAACAGTTGGCGTTTTGAAAACCCGACCGAGATTATTTGCTAGCTGTTTTTAATATAATTGACTAGGTCTCCTTTGTGGGTAGATCGCAATTAGTAAACAGCGGTCTTCTATTGACTTCCTGTGATTTTACGCATGCTGCAACACGCTCTGACCAATCAGAGTGCACATGCTTTATTCTCAGCCAACCAGGTGAGAAGCCAAAACCAATTATGAGTTGGTTGACGTCATGTTTCCCGTGCTTGCTGTCGGTTGCCTGCGCTGGCTTCAGCTTGTGATTGGCTTATTAAAGTATTGGCAGTTACGTTTGGCCTAGCTGTGAATCTGCTTCTTCAAGGACCTCACACAGCTTGTCCCAACCAATCAGATAAACAATAATTTCATCACGGGCACTAAGTAGCAAAATTGAAAGAGAATTTTCTGCTTGCTCTTTTCCCGCGCTTTTTTTTTGTTTGTTTGTTTGTTTTTGTTCTTGCTTTTGTTTTTGTTTTTTCAAATGTCAGAAATAACACCCGCAGAAAGTCAAGGAAAAAACTACTCCAACAACGTAAGCCAATAGGATTAAGAACTAACTCTTATTTATAACCTGCATAAGTTAATTTAGTAAGGCTTTAAAAAGGTCACCACTTTCCACTTTTGCTTGCGATGCCAATAGGATGACGTCTGCAGAACGGGAGAGGATTGAAGTTGTTGTCTGAAAAAAGGCTTCGTGACGATTCGAGGCGCTCCGAGTGGACTGGGCTCGGTTGGTTTGTTTCAAGGTTTGGGTTCTTCTTTAAATCTGCGAAAGGAAATGTACGTGTTACCCGGAAGATCATACCTAAAACTTACTGAAAATTCCTTGTTATCAACCTAAATGTTTCTATGGTTCTACCTTTCGGTTTCAATCCGCCAACATTTGGATCTGAGCTTTATCTAAGATCATTACCACGTGCATACAGTAGACAATAAGCCCTCAAGCTGATTGCTCTATTTTTTGTTGCTACACCGCGCTGACGAGACCCAACCAGGTCGAAACAGCTCTCCACTGTTGCAATTCTTGGCTGTCAGTTTGAATTCTGTCTTGTCCTTGTCGCGTTAGGTTTTCTACATAGTAATCAGCCTTGTTTTAGTGTTATTCTATTTCTATTGTTTGCTGATCAGATCTTTTACAGATCCTACGTATACAAGCAGCATTTTTGTTTACCTCGAGTACTGTCCCTTGCTACATTAGTATTAAGCAAAGTGTTTAAGCTGCCCTCTTCTTTTTTTACGTAGCAGTGTCTTGTCACCTATGTTACAACATCTCTGAACCGCTGCCTCCTCAACCACCCAACATGCATCCATGCTAAAACAGATCGTCGAAATATCGCACTTTATGCTAGACTCTTAGACTGCATTTATCCGTCAAACGTTCAATATTGAACACCTCCTGATCCGATGGCTTGGGCATGTCCTTAGAATGGACCAAGACCGCATCCCCAGGACTGCCTTCAGATGGACACCACCTAGAAGAAGGAAGCAAGGGCGGCCCAGAACAACTTGGAGACGTACTGTGATGGCCGAGCTAAAAGAGACGGGCTTGAATGGGGTGAGGCAGAGCATGCTGCAAAGGATCGGTCCCGTTGGAAACAAACCGTTGACGCCTTATGCCCCACCCGGGAGGAAGATGACCAAACGACTATTGAACACGACTCACCTTGGATCGTTAGAAGCATTTTCTTCCTGGCGCCAAACGCGCTGATACCCAGTTCCTTGAGATCTTCCTCGGTCAGAGTCATGAAAGTTGGCAAGTCAACCTTGAAAAGTGAAAAAGGTTGTTTAAGCACAGACTGTCACTCCGTCGCTGTCCGGGGCTCTCGCGGTTGTTTAATTCAATAAACAGTTCGGAAACAATTGAATTGTTTCAAAGAAGGTTTGCTCGTTCTCTTATTGGCTACGCTCCTCACTATCTATTCTGATGTAAATATAGTGACTAGCCTAGCAGCGTGCGATTGTGGCTTTGAAGAGGACTGATTTAGGTTAAGTTTGAACGACTAGTAGATTTATACTAAAGGTATGTAGGCAGGTTAAGTCTGCATACGAGCCAAGTGGCCCATCAGGCCGGAGCTTATCCCGGTTTCTATAGCATGAAGCGACTAGGAGTATTTCTACACCCGCTGGATGGGATATTAGTCCATCGCAGGGTTACTCCCAGAATTAAATTCGCCGGTACTCATTTATATATCTGAGCGGAAAAAGGCACCGTGAGAGTAAAGTGTCTTGCCAAAGAACACAACGTGAAGGCCCCCGCCAGGGCTCGCCGGACCACTCGATCTGGGGCTGGGACGAGCGCACTAATAACGACCTTACGCAAAACACGACGGCAAAGGCAACGAGAAAGTGATCAAACAAAAGGTTAATGAGCAGAACAAAGGCCGTGCACGTGCGTTATAATTCTTGGTCCATTTCTTTGCCGTCCTCTCCAAATCAACAACGTGAAATGACCAATTTCCAAGTGTTTTTTACAACGGAACCCACTACGGCTAATTTTTCGTATGTTTATTTGGAACTGAACGCATTCGAAGCATATTCATCAGAGCCAAGTTTTAATACCAACAAACTGAAAGATCTACGTAAATGCGAAATTCCAAAGTTAAGTATAAACACACTTTTTAATGACCGCAAGGTCCCTATTAAGGCTATGAGGCCACCGCAGTTACTAACATACCGCGATCGTTTGTTGAGGTTTCGGCACTCTGAAAACGCATCAGATGTTTTCCGCCTGCACTACGCCGGAGGAATTTGAAAACGCAACAATAACCGGTGGTTGAGGAAAACTCGGGCGTTTTCAAAATGTTTTCCAACCACATTAAAACGAAAAGTTCGACGTTTCCAATTCCCTCCGGTTTGAAGAGCGTTTTCGAAAAACTCCGTTTTCGTGACGGATTAGTGTGGACGGTAGACCAAATAGTTGAAACATAGCTGCGTTTTCAAATTCTCCGGCGTAGAGTGGACGCTGCCTCAAAGGAACAGTATGTTGTGGCATTGTACACACGTTAAAACATAAAATGTTTACAACCAATTGCTGAGAACTTTGCCTTTGTATGCCTTACCTCTTGCTCTTGGAAGATACTCAAATACTTTCCAAGGCCAACTTTTTCAAACAGATCCCGAAGATCTAAAATAAAATAAAAACAAAACTTCATCGACAATCGAACACTCGACTACAGTAAGTAACTCTTAGAGTTAACCATAAAGAAGAGAATTGGAGTTCTCTACAGCTAGGAGTCAAAACTGAGACCTTCTAGTCCAGATGCCCTCAATACTATTGAGCATAACTCTAGGGAGCTAAGACCATTAAACTACGTTCATGTGACAAACATCTTAGGAGTGGAATTCTGATGATGGCACCTTAACTTGTATCTGAGTTATGCCGCCCCTAAATTCTCTATACTTCGCGTATTAAATTGAACTACCACGGTGATTAGAAATACGAATCCTATTATTTTAGCAAAAAGGCTTCAAGCAACAATCTTCCCAGACGCACACACTAGCTGAGTGTTTTTCGCAATGTGGTGATTTTGAATCCCTACGAAGTCAGCGGAATCGCTCGCTTTTTTTCCTTACACACACAAAGCTGCACACGTGACGAGAGAAGCACCGGGAGAAATCATTCCAACACAGGAATGGCAGAAGTAACTCATACCTGAGCAAGGAGATGTCGCTGAACAACTATTTCTTCTGGAACCAATTGCTCCGGCACTGATACTTTCAGCTACGGAATACAAACAAACACAAAACAGGAATTAGGACTAAAACCTTGCACATAATGTATAAACATGCACATGTAAGCTCTTAATAAACCGCTCTTCCCAGTAGTCACGTGTTGAGGTTTGAGACAAGAACTTCAAACACTGCTATCGAAACTACCAAATTGGTGACGGTAAAAATAGCCGCCACAAGAACTCTCCTTACAACACTGAAGGTGGCGACCGTCACACAGGATAGGTGTGAGACGGGGGAGGGGTGGGGGTTGGAAGTAGCGCGCTATGATTGAATAGTGTCGCCCAGTCTATTACAATTCACTCTGACCAATAGGCAAACAACTTCACGTTGGCCCGTTAGAAACGCGCAAAATTAAGGTGTCGCAGTTTCAAGGTTTCATCGGGACCAACAGAGAACAAAAATGATAGTTTTATAAAACTGAATATTTTGCTTACTCACCCGGTAATTCTTCCTCTTCAACGCGTTCCGGTCTGAGTGAAGACTGGAAGAGAATTTGAAACAGTAAAACATCACGGTAGACAGTAACGCAAGGCAGTCCTAACGCAACACACCACACGAGTAATGCATACTTCACGACAAAATACAGGAAACCGTGACACAACCATACGCACCTCAAAGCCACTTCTGCTCCGAGATTCTCTAGGACCTGAGCTAAATAGTGACGACGGATTGGCAGACTAAAAGAAAATGCAACCATATATGAAAACATTTCACCCTTTTATTTAAATTCATCCCCCATTGATCTCCCCTCCCTTTTAAGCGAGTTGCAAAAACTTCACCGAAACGCCTAGTCCACACATAGTTCTTCTCAAGCCGTAGCGAGACTTAATGGTAAAATATTAAATTATGGCTGATGTAATATAAACGCACCTCAAACCTGCCATCAAAGGATCCATTGTAGGGTAACAAATTCCCTTTGTTATGGGCCCTGAAATCCAGCTGAAAAATACAAACAATAAAATAATAAACAAGTAGTCTAAGTAGTAGTACTTAATACTCAGCCAGGGAGCCCAAGCAAACCACGACGACGACTGCAACGAGAACGCCACCAAACAAAAGGTTCAATGAGCAAAGAATGGCTTGCACGTGCCTTATAGATCTTTGTACATTTCTTTGCCGTCCTCTGCAAAACAAGAACGCGAAATGACCACGTTCTGCGTAGTTTGAGGAACGCGAACGACGACGGCTAAGTTTTCGTATTTCCATTTTGGAATCGAACGCTGTCATTGCATATTTAGCTTCAGCGCGTTTTTAGAGCCATTCGCGCACTGAACAGATCTAGACAATAGCGAATTTCGCTGGTAAAATATAAATTGATTTTCGACTTGGCGACACCCTAAACGTCCATAATAAGTGCTTACACCAATCGCGCCAGAGAAAAATTATATATTTCAGCTTATTATATAAGGTCGTAGTAAAGCAAAAAGAAAAGAAAACTCCTTCGAGCCGGATTCGAACCAGCGACCTAAGGATTACACTTCTCCCTCTACAGTCCTCCGCTCTACCAACTGAGCTATCGAAGGAATGTTACCTCTATTCGTAAAATTTTAAATTCAAATTGCAAAGATCGTTGCTCGCGCACCATAGTGAAACAATACAATACCTGCACATGAAATCAAATCAAAAAAACTTCACACTCTTACTCTACTCACCAATTCTTTAATTGCTGATTCTGGCATTGATTTCGAGAATCCAAGACCACTCCATGTGTTCGTTGGTGTTCTCACTTCGTTAACGACAACCTTCTTTTGCATGGCTAGTGATAAAGAAGTTGAGTCCATAGTTATTGAGAATAAACCGTATCGTCTAGGGGTTGCTATCTTTATTTTGCCAAAACAGTGCTCTTTATGAAGTATGCATCACAATTTTTGTGAATGATGAAACTCCTGTTCTTGCTCTCCTGAGCCATAAAAGTGAGAAAGTTTTGATTTTGTTCTCAAAATATCTCTGAAACGCAGGAAAATACACTAATAGTGGCCGACAGGTTTTGTTTTTTAATATAGCCATATTATCCAATCAAAACTTTACCTATCGTCGCCATGGACTTCATATTATGGTATTTATCCGCCTGTTGATTAAACAAAAACGGAGCGTAAGAGCGGCGAAATTGAAAAAGCACAACGAAATGAACAGCTAAGGCAAATCATAAACATCAACCTTGTTCCCAGAGTGCCTGTTGACCCGCTGGGACAAAAGAGGAAGAAAGACCCTGGGACTGAGTTTATCCCAGTGTGGTAAGAAAACTTACTGGCTGAGTTGGAGCATTCGGTGGAATCCTCTGTAAGCTGAAAAACAAATAAGCAAATTTATTTAATCAAAGGTAAAACTGACACTCGAGTTTCCAATCACCATTTAATTGTAGAAAAATTTTCATTGCCCTGCTGCACCTCTATGGCACACGCGGAGATAATTTCCGCGCATGGGAAGAAGTGCAGCAGGATGGAGGTTTCCGTCGCCAAGGGGAGGTGGGTGGGGGAAAAAAAGGGAACTCTGAACAGAACTCCCAGGGCATGAACGCCTAACAGGACAATCATAAGTGTGGAGGGCGTATATGTATATTACGCTCAATACTCATGGGTATTACGAAGGTCTCTAGAGAAGAAAAGTGCTAATTTATGTAGCGTAGGTGTAATCACATCAATGAAAATAGGTTACATGTAAAGAACTGAACAACTTACAGCATAAAAGATGAACTCAGGCTGTCATCAGATTCACTCGGGTCCGAGTTCAAACTTGAGGTACTTGCACTAACAAATTAAAAGAACATAATCAGAAGCTTTGAGGGGAAAAGAAGACTATTACAAATAAATAGGATACCTACCGAAAATTCACATTCTTTGTACCGGACAATATTTGAACTGTCTGTCTTTTAGAACCATGACTCGCGGACGAACCTAAAACAACAGGAAAATGGCATGACGGATCTAAGTAAAGAGCGTACATAAGGTAATCAATGAGAATTCACAACAAGAACGCCGATAACCTATGGTAACCACGGGAGATGAAAAATCAGATTTTCACTTAATGCTTTGAACAAAGGAAATACTAAACAAATTCGTAAATTCGCGAAAATTACATGTACGTGTCGCAAAATCTAGATTTTCCAAAATAGAGTTGTCGCGAAAGTTTCGTGTAACAAGATGACTCGCCACTCGATTTTTGTCCTCTCTCGAGTCCGGTCTTCCTTACTCCCCGATAAGAGACGAATTCAGGGAATGAATGCGGCTGTTTTGGTTCCCCAAAACAAAACACCTTTCTCTAATTGCATATTTTGGTCAGAGAACTTCTCAGGGTTCGTTGATGCAAGCCTTAATACTTTCGAATGCTGTTTATTTCAAAACTGACGAATTTAAACGAAAATGTCTTCACCAATCATTCTTCATACCCTTTTTACACTCGTTTTCTCAAAGCAAGCGCTGTTTAAGGGTGCGTACCACCCCCGCCCTGAAAAGAGCTTGCTCCTTGCAGACTGTTGCAAGCTATCATTGAATGCCTTATAGTCATCAGTTTTCACTATGCCGGCCTATCTCGACCCAAGACTCCTCTCATCACTTTATTTTGACGCTTCAGATTTCCGAAAAAAAGGTTTTTGTGATAACAACCACAGTTCGCCGGGTTTGAATCAACATAAACATTAGGAAATAATAAAAATATAACGCATGACTACATACCGACAGGGTTTAAGTTTCCGCCGCTGCTACCATGTGTCTTAGCGTCACGATATGGCTGGAAAAAGACGTGAGATCATTAAGCTTAAATTTTAAACTAGATGTTACATCGGCCGCGATATCCATAAGGGCATGCACGATTTGAGCTGCCGATGTCGAAATGTTTTCAGTTTTGGGTTTATCTGGTATACGTTTTGTTCTTCCGTCTGTCTGTCTGTCTGTCTGTCTGTCTGTCTGTCTGTCTGTCTGTCTGTCTGTTAGTCTGTCTGCCTTCTCGGCTTTCTCGGACACCAATTCACCACAATTGAAGAAATTCCGTGTTGAAATAAAAATGCGGTCTGTCTGTCTCAGATAACAACATACCTTCACATAAAAGATATGCTTTTGTCAAGACTGTCTGTTGGTGGGTCGGGACTGTCTGTTGACCGGTTCTGGCACCATCGGCCGGGCTGTCTTGTAAGTTAGCACTGTGTCAGTGACCTTATGAGTGTTTAGCTGGGTGTGCACTCAGAGTTCGTTTCAAGATGACTGTATTTGTTGCGGTCTGTGCTGAGGGTTCTCAGAAGCATCTGTCTGCGTCAGTTTGGTAAAGTCTCTGTGCTGTGTTTAACTGTCCGTCTTACTTTCCATCTGTCAGTTAAAAATTAGTTCACTTCGTTTATAAAATAGAGCCTGTTTGTCTGCATAAATATAAAAAATCGTCTTTTGTCTCTCTGATGATTTCAACGTCAACGTTATATTTTCAAGTTTTATTTTCAGCTTTTCTTCCATGTTACAGACACAAATTCAATGCCGACTACGACAGTGGTCTCTTTATACTCTACAGTTTTAGTTTGTAAGTAAGCTGAAGGTTTTGCATTTTGTTTTCTAGTTTGCATCTTGTTTCTCGCCAGTATTCCGTGAACACAGTGCAGTGGTCATATATTCTACGTAATGGTAGTGAATGAATTGAGGTGTGTATTTTAGTTCTCAGTATTTCGCGTATAGTAGTGCAGTGTTCAGTAAGTCATCGTTACTTACGATAGAGTCAGTTAGGTCATTTCCGCTGGCCATACTGTGGTGATTTGCTGTGAAGGAACAAATCGACACAAAGGTAAGAATCTATTTTTAAACACGTTTTTCTGCATCAAATCTTTCTAAATAAACTAGGGATTCAGTAGTCCGGCCGCCCGCCGCCCGGCTCAGGCTTGCAGAAGCGGACCAATCAGCGACCTTAATTTCGGCGAGAAAACGCCGAAAGCGCGCTTCTCACATCGTGTGCAGATTTTTGCCGCCTTAAGCTTTGTCAAATGATTTGAATTTTACCCCACTGTGAAAGGTTGCGGTGAGCGTTCTCAATCTTCCTTCTATTTGCATCTTGAGAGAGCCTCGTTCAGTCTTAACAAAGTGAGAAAAACGAGTAAGTTTTTATTGATGGTGCTCAGTCAATACAAGGAAAGCTTTACAAGGCAAAGATGTCGGAGGTGGACTTCAACAAACAACTTTTTCGCGATTTGGGTGCCGTGTAATGTATGTTTCCTAATTTAGTTACGCTGAATGCTTTATTTATACCGATTCTTCGCTATGTAATTTTTTTTGTTTCAGTGTATGAAGATTTCAAACTTGGGAAGTCCAGTTACGTTCTACAGACTGGTACGTAAGAAATAATCGAGAATTTAGATCAAAGAACTTAGACGGCGGCCATAGGCTCAACAACGTTTTATCACTAATAAATTAAAAGCCAATGTAGAATATAAAATGAAGCTCTTCAGAACCAAAAGTTTAGCTAAAGAGCTTTATCTGTTATACATAATCTGCTTGAGTGACTTCAGTAAAAACATACCATCATCTTCAACTGTCATTGGGCTCTCACATGTCGGACTCCTGGGGCTCAAACTTCCTGACGAGCTACGCCTAATTGGACTTCCACTTAAACTCTGTCTGTCAACAGGACTACAAGTTCTTTGTTGCTTGTCAGGACCTTGACTTATGGTTCCAATAGGGCTTGGCGTTCTCTGACCATGAGGGCTACCAGTTCTTTGACTAAACTGACTTTGAGATTTACCAATATGGCTTTGTGCTGGACCTAGTGAAATCAAATTTTGTCACAGTGAGTAAGAGAGCTATACTTGATTGATGCTTCCATTTCACCCCTGAAAGTGGTTTTAAATTGAGTGTCGATAAGTTGTCAATAACTATTAATTTCCAAAAAAGTCAAATAAAAAGTGCAATAGAACTATATACGCAACTTAGCTGGAACCAAGGATTTTGTTAGACTTGCCACAAGTCGACCTTTTCTTAAACCTTGACTTACTTATCTCGAGCGACGAGTGTAATATTCGAGCGACGAAATCGCGAGGGCGAGCGCGAGGGATGTAAAAAATCATTGAAAAGGACTTTTAGAAAGTCTAGGATTTTGTCAGCAAGGTTCGCAGTTTAACATTTTAAATATTTAGTTTACTGCATCATAGTATATTGATGAAAATTTCAATTTTTATTGTACGAATATGTTATAGCTTTTAATATCATGATTATACGGTAGTTAGTTATGTTAATTTTGGTGGTGGGATATCTGTAAACTAGCCGTATGGCTAAGCATATTGCTATCCTATCCTATCCTAAAGTATCCTAGAGCTATTATCGATTACAACCCATTTTTCATAAATAGCTCAGTTGTCTACATTGACAGATATGTTTACCTGTACTCATGCTGGTGATATATCCATCTGAGCCAGGTGTAGATCCTGAATAATTTATAAGATAACCACTTGGAACATTATTTGCGATAGATGCCACTGTCACAGGGGGGCCTAATCCAGGGGGAGGGGGTGGATTTGTTGGATAAGTTGTTGAACAGTTTATAAGTGGGTGCATTGGTGATGTCACAAGGCCACCAATCATGTTTGAGATGGTAGGTGATGTTGGGGACATAGTTGTTGTAAACCATGTGTTAGAGGTTGGATCCACTGGACTTAAAACAGGACTGGTGTGTCCATTCATGTGACTGTGGATGTAGCCAGGTGGAGATGAGCTCAGGTTGAGCATGCTAAAGTAATTTCTTGTGAGATTGTCAGGTGATGGGATACGATGATTAACCAAGCTTGATGTTGAAAATGCTGATGACACAGCAAGATTTTCATTTCCATCCAGCCCAAGTATCTCAAGCCTTGCAAGGTACATGCTTTGAACATTTTTCTCTGCACTCTTCACAATCACCGACTGAAAAAATTTGCAAAATAACGACCACATTATACAACTTGATTTAATAAATACTTAAATTAAAATACATATAGATAAAATTAACTCGAGAACATAAATGAAAATATTACCTATTCAAGCAAGATATGTGATTACTTTAACGAGTTGATCATTTAAGTGTTGCTAATTTATTTCACGTAGCTGAGTTATTACATGCAAACGCATGTTACGTTAAAAAATCTTTGAAAACATACCTTACTGGGTTGCTTGGGTTTTGGTTTTACACTGACAAACACATCATATGCTTCCATTATTTTGCTTAACTTTGCTGCAACTAAGAGAATAAGAAAACATATAGGTAAATTTCTTTGAAAATGTTGATAGGTATACAAAATAAAAAAAGATTTTATTGCTACTTTGACATTTTGACATAAAATTATTCCTGCACTCAACAAAGCCAGACGGCAGATGTTTATTGCAAAAAAATAGGGAAACAACAACAACCATTTTATTTTGCATAATACATAGAATATCATTTAGCAAAAGAATACATCAAACTTAATAAGCAAAAAAACTACTCAAAATAGTAAAAACTAAACGAGCTGAGTAGTTACAAGAATTATTACGCTTTAAATCGGTTGTAGGAAAAATAAGGAAAAGAAGAGGTAGAAAGAGAAAAAAATATATATAGATATAAATATAAAAAGAAATATAAGTAGTAACAGTACCAGTTATAGACAGAGCATTGTTTAATTAAGAGCGATAGTAACTTAAAGAAAAAGCTACTGTGTCTGTCAGCATAAATCTTACGTATATCAGCATCTCCATCTTCCTCTCGTAGGTCAAACATTAATACCAGGGGAAGGCAATTCTATGAAAGAATAAACAATGAAAAAAATCAACTTGAACCTAAGCAGGAGGGATACATTCAGATGAAAAAAATCCTTTTGAATGTGAGAAGACAAGAATGACTTTTTTCATTGTCACCATAACTGCCGTCATAAATGTCAACCTGAACGTCAAATACATAATACACCACATCCGCATTCTCGGCATAGCTCTGGGACTATACCTTGCGATGGATTTATCTACATCACTGTCAGAAGATCAGAGTTTTAAACCTTTTTTGAAATAAAAAAAAGCATGGCAAGTTTTGTAACCCTGATGAAAGCAAATGAGTGCTGAAAGATACAAAAAAGACAACCTTGCAATCTATCAACCCAGTGATTTACCACTGATAGGGCCACTTACAAGTCCAGCGAACTGAAAAAATATGCATATGCATTTCCCAAAAATGGAGAAAAGGTAATTAAATTGAATTCCCACTTATGAATAAAATACAAATATAAAGTACAGAGGAACCCGGCCTTATGACCATGAAATTAAAAGTTCTACAATGGTGAACCACCTCGTTATTTTGGCCCTTTTGGGGGCCTGACAAAAATACTTATATATATATGTAGTCAGTCATTTTGTTATTTTAAGAACCACAATTTTATGGCCCAATGGAAGTCATATTGATTGATTCCACTGAAAATTCATAGGAAGAGCATTGATATTATTAACGTAAATTTTTGGTATACATTATTAGTCAAGAATAAGGTAATCTTTTTCTTACAATAAGCTGAGCTCTTGCATGAATAACAGAGTCCACTGTTCCAGTAATAAATACTGTGCCTTTTCTTTGTGTTCCATTTGGATCAGGAAAAGAAATGCTGAGAAGGAAAGAAAAACTCTCACCCAAACTGCAACAATAATGACATTATACGTTTCTACCTACATGATTTTAAAGTTTTGTTTTCATTAAATGAAGCTGGCTTCCAATAATTCCGAGAACCTTCCCAGGCACTTGAGATAGGTTTGAGTTATTGGAAGTTTAAGGTATCAAAAGATGGGTAGATTAAGTGATCATATGATTGGAAATAAGGGAATAAATCGACATACATTTCAATCAGATTTTTTACAGAGTAAGAGTAAAGCTGCAGACTGAAGTACTTTGCCAACATAGCAAATCATAACAGATCTGAACAAAACAGCAGACCAACGTGTCTATTGGTGGTGCTACTTCAGTGCACAGTTGTTACTATTCTTCTCAGAAATAGTCTCTGATTATGCCCTGACCCTTTACAGCCAATCTACTTCTATCTAGATTTGTCTTATTAGCAGTGACAACTCTGGATTAGTACTGTAGGTTTTTTGACATACATACATGTAGCTAAGACCTTTTGAGCTGAGAAGTACGTTATGCAACATTTTCTCTCCAGCCTTATCATATTCAAACCTACTGGCAAACACTCTTAAGACCTCAGGGTAGAAATGCAGTGGAGTGACGTGCTTATAATTACAGAAAGCATCTGCATTATAAATTACAAGTTTGACTGCTACATGTAAAATAACCAATCATTTATTTAGGGAAGCAAACTTTGTTTTGCGTGGTAGATTAGACATACATTCATTCAGTAATGAATTACGCCAAAATAGGCTG